ACCCGCCCGCAACACGTACCCCTGAACCTCACAAAACCGGTATCACTAAGAGACGGAACTCCCAGTTCACAATATTTTGCTGGATTAATATGGCGGCCGTGTTTGCAAACGCAATTTTCATCTAATATGGGATTCGCGCGTTCGCTGGAGTTTCAAGGTGTCTCCAACTGACCCAGTCCAACAAACTTGGATCGCACGAAACTCTCGATGTGACTTTCTCAAAAAGGGGTCTGCTGCGGTAACCCTTGGACAGTGAGATGCTAAGGGGACTGTGACTATGAAGTCCCCTTCTAACGATTATACCAGGATCATCTTGAGAAACCCAAACCCCACAAAAAAACCCTAGCTCCAAACCACCCAACAGTCTCAGGAAAGATGCAGGATGACACGGTCCGTTCCGCGAGCGCCCCGCCGAATGTGAACCGCGGCAATTCGATCCTTCATTCGTCCATTCGCTTGCGGGTTAGGGTTTAGTAGTGTGAAGGCTTGCGGGTTTCAGTAATTGGGTAGCGAAGAGTTTGGGTTGTCGAGCTTGGGGTGTAATGTCAGCTCAAGACTGGGCAGCTTTGGGCCTGTCAGGGCGATAAACAAGATGGCCACTCTGGCGATTTTGAACCGCTTCTGCAGCTGCCGACTGAGAAGGAGCTCCCAACACCAGACCCCATTGGAAGCCACATAAATCGACCACCACATTTACATTCGGGATCGATGATCGAAGGCTGCGGGTCGTGCCGTGCCATCTCACAGAAGCCCATCCCAGACCTCCAGAGTGTTTGCGACTTGGAGTCCTCTCTAACCCCATGCTCCACAACAAGACCGATCGAGGTTGAGGCCTAGGCTTAACCATTCTCTCTATAATCCAAACCCTGAAAGCTAAATCAAGACGTATCTTCTTGTTCAGCGCTGTAAACTTGTTAGCTGTAGCCATGCCTCTGGTCTGCTAAAAATATTTCATGCTGCGATTGGAACTGGAGCGTTGACCCCACGATATTTGAAGGACCCCTCCCTCCACCCTGCAAGGACTCCCATGAAATCAAATGGAGCCTCAAGTACAGTTTTGCAGGCGGTTCACATGGGAGTTGCTCAAAATTACCCCAGGAGAATCCATCATACATACTCCCAGATTCCACCTGTAACCCGAAATATCCCTTACGTTCCCCTGTAGTAAGAATCCCCACAGGGCAGTATGCTATCAAACCCATCCCCGCTGGCGATAACCTCCAGCACTTGCATGCCTCATTCTCTGTCTCCAAGTAGAGAAGATCTGGTCTCTTCTGCAAGGCCTGCAAAACTTCCTCTACACCAGCATCACCGCCACTGACATCGCTACCGCCACCAGCACCAGCACCAGCATCACGATGACCACCATACCAGATGCTTGGACCCTCACATAAAGAGGTCGTAACTTGCGACCGCGACCCCACCCTTGTCATGATCCCTCCATGTTTCGTGCAGTAGTATCTGCATCTTGGCTCACGTTGTCTTCATGTAGCCACAGTGATCTAGCATCTAATTGCTCGCAAAATCCTCAGGCCCCGAATCCTCAATCCGAACCCCTGATTAAACTTTGGGCCCGAACCCCTAACCCCTGATATCCGGAATCCCGTGTTCTGTGCCACACCTCGGCGTAGCGAGCTTTTGGCGGTACAGGGAAAGCCAGGGAGGTGACTGCCGCACCCATCCTTTGCTCACGCTACATTGGATGCAAGGAATCCTGCAACGCGTCGGGCAGTTGTGATGCAGTATGTCAATGTATGTGGGGGGGGGGTATTTCATCTGGATTTAGCGTTTAGGAATTGCAGCACGCAGTTTGTTACCTCAAGCGGAGATGTTGACAACTATAGCTTTGGGTGTATCATTTGGGGTTCAGGGATGAAGTTGAGAGGGGCGGAGTTTCGAAGCATTGGGACTTCAATAGTTGCTGCCTGCGAAGACATACTCTGTTTCAGAGTTGCAAGATTCCACATCTGTTGCCTATATGTTGTAGTGGGTTCTTCATTTTGAACATCAAAGATTCTTGTAAACCATTTGACATCCACGAAATCAAGGGTGTACTGTCTAGTCCAGGGCTTTACTTTGCACATAAAACATAGCAAGACCACAGAAACACACATATCGTTAATCCAGATCCTTCTTTGGACACCTCGACATGCCTTCCCCTGGCATGAATGAATTGCAGCCCCACCTCCCCCCAACCGCAACCACAATACGAAAGATTCTCTACAACCCAAACCTGCTGGGATATTTTCATAACGAGTTCTCATGAGTACGGGAAGCAATTCTCATCGCTTCTGTTTGTTTTGGGTCAGTCGCACCGTGAAGTCCTGTTCTGAAGTTCTGACCTTGATAAACATCCAAGATCATGTCGAGGCTGTTCCACACATCGAATGCAATAAGCGCCCTGGCCCCGTAGAAAGCGGATCAGGAATATCCGCCAGCGAAAATTCTGCGTGCAACTTCAACCAAAACTACAAACGACAAGCACCAAACCCTATGGAAGTTAACGGGCCAATCACCGCCAGAACGTGTAGGTTCATAGGGCTTAGGATCTAGTTGCAGCGTCCTACTGTTTTCGGTTGTTCTTATGAGGGACGGATGTTAACAAGAAATGTCCCAATTAGGGCGTCAGCGTGCAAGGTACCCAGCTAAGGATGATCCAAGAGGAATGCCCCTGCACAGTAAAGATCCCACGCCAGATTAACCCCGACAGGGACCCCCCAAAGCTCTACACCCTAAACCATAACCGAAGAACACCCTTAACTGCATTTGGTAAGCCCCTAGACCCACAAGCTGAGCGGTTCATAATTCCGCCCAGGGGCCCAGAGACCTTTACGCAGCCGACAGGCGCACATGTGGTCCCAGAGGAGTCCAGCGTTTCAGCTAGCTAATCTGTTAGTGCTAGTCGTCAACACTGTGTTAAGGGTTTAGTGTGATAAGGATTTAGTGCTTGGGAGCGTTTAACCAGGTTTGGAGGCTCTCAAGATGCGGATTGACTTGTTTACCTTTTCTTGAACGAAGTTCTGACAACATCTGTCCGAAGTAGGGATATCGCAGATGACTGGTAAACTTTAGAGGTGACAAGCAATACGCCAAATATTCTCAGGAGACATCTTACTGTGAAAGCTGATCTGCACTCTGGGTACTACGTAACCCTGGACCCTTGCCGCTTATGGTACAGTTGCAGGCTGCCTGCAATGGAGCTGCACTTGCATGAGCCAAGCTCCGGCCGTGTCAGGATTTTGTGTTTACAGTGTATCGAGGCTTTGGAGGTTTAGGGTTCAGGAGTGGGGGTTGAGGGATGTAAGCCTTATACCCCCACCCCCGGCAAAAGCAATCTAAAGAGGGTTCGTAAACAGTTCTCCATCCCCCTGATCGAGCCAGGAAAAACGGTTGAACGAACCTGCTTGTAAAAGACTAAAACATTTGTATTGGAACTGAAACAGAGCTTTATAAAACCCATTCTCAATCACAGTTGCTCAAGCAGTGTTTCTTCATAAAATTTATGAAGAAACACAAAGGTTCTAAGGAGATGCGAATTCAGAGGCACCTCAATTTAGAAAACCTGCACATCACCCGAAAAACTAGAAGTACCTGTTAAAATCTCAGGGTTAGGCTGGGCGCTTCTAAGTTGGCTGGTGACAAAGGTTAGATTAAGTTTGAGAACGGTGCTTATGGAGGGTCACCTACAACCTCTTTGCGCTGCTATTTCAAATATTCCCAGAACCGCTAGCTGCAGTACTCATACCAATGAATGGATACTAGGGGGGGACAAGGGTTGCGACGCAGGAAGGGAGTTGAGTACTCTTTTATATTGAAGCCAACAGCTTGGGACGCAGCTTCGGGGTCCAAACTCTGAGTCCTAAACCCGTTAGCCTGAACCCTAAACCCCAAGCCGTAAACTCCTAAACCCCAAGCTCTTTGGCCATGCGTTCCTTGTTCAAGAGTTTAGTAGGGACTATACTGAACTACAAGACGGACCCCTGTGTCCACCCTTCAGGGTCGCTTAGCCAGGCTTATATGAACAGTCGTTCATATGACTCTTTTAGGATCATGGTTTTGGGGTTGGGGTTTTAAAGGTCCCAGCTAGAAGTTATGCACCGACTTGAATATCGTCCCTCCTGCCTGCCCGAACCTTAAACCCTAAACATCTAAATCCTAAACCCTAAACGCTAAATCCATGAAGAATTTTCTGAGGGATGGGCATGAACTTCAGCATTCTCACCATTTGGTTCCTTGTTGGGATACGATCGGAATTGTGATCTTGCATTCCTTCTTGGACTTCGACACAAAGATGCACTCCCCGCGACAAATTCACTCGATGTCGTTGTTTTCAGCATCAGAATCAGGACCCCAAGTTGTGCCCACGCATAAGATAAGTCAGAGGGTTAGGGATTGGAAGAAACACAGGATTCCTTATTCCTTAGATCCCACTCCTTCTACGTTTTACCCTCAGTAACATGAAACCCGCCAGACAGCTAGCTAGTGCCGTTGTTGACAGAAGCCCCCAAACAAGTTCATATCCTTCCGCTGAGCTTCTTGTAATGGGAGCAGCGCTCAAACCTTGGACTTGGACTTTCCGGACCCTGAACCCCAATTCCTGTTTATTGAAAGCCAACATTTGATTGGCTTCACTGCGAACCGCTGTGGCAGCTTCTCGCCACGTCGGGTGAAACAGGCACTCTAATTTAAGCAGAAAGAGAACTGCTTGAAAATCACTGTTGGCAAAAAAGAGACAACAATGTGAAGCACGAGCTGGCGTCGAGTAAGTGTAGTATGCTGTCTGCTAGCTGGTTGGACTGAAGGACGCTCGGACCTTTGCCGCCATTCTGGGACAGTGCAAAAAAGTTGACAAGGCGCTTGAAACCTTTCTCTGCTATGATTCCTGCAATCTTGTAACAAGTCATGTTTAGCCATTTTTGTGAGGACTTCGCTAAACATGTACATCTCTTTTTCAGGTCTCAAAGCGTTGTGCACCGCTACTGTAGCGGCAGCACCCTGAATCAGTAGGCCTTTCCAACGGCCTGCGGGCAATTTGATACAAGGATATAAGCTGGAGACTTAAAGTAGATGGTTGCCAGGCTTCTCCCAGGCAGCTCATCATGAGCTGTCCTTCTAGCAGGAACCCTAAATCCCACACACATAAGCTCCAATTGCGCAATTGCGCTGAACCTTTCTTCCTCCAATGTATAGGCTGCTGACCTTCCTTAGCGGCCCTAGCGCCCTTCCAATACGGCATCTGATACCTTAGGCTATGAAGATGGATTGTGAAAACAACATACACCGCCCTTCTGTGATTCCCTTGACTGCCCAAAACCCTCCTCGCAAAGGTTCGCCAATCCTGAACCCAAAGCCCTACACCTGAAACCCTCAAAACTACACCCCCATCCACCCCAACAACCACACCCAAACTCCCCCAAACCACCACAAGGGGTTATAACCCTAAACCCTAAATAGTAGTTTCCATTTTCTTTTCCATTATCCCCATAGAATCCCTATATAACCCCTTTAAAGGGATCCATATTCTACCTACTTAAGGGCCAACCCAAACCATCTCGGCCTGACCCTCCTCCCGCTGCATGTATGCTCGAATCTGGTCAATGGTGAGCTTCGGGGGCTTGGGCTCCGCCTGCATCTGTGGTGGATACAGGGATACTGTAGGGAGATATTGGGTATGTAGGGATGTAGAAGGATATAGGACCTAGGGCCTAAGGGTTTAAGGAGAAAAGGTTGAGGATTTGAGGGTTTCTCAACTGATAAGGGCCCCTTAGGTTCCTTTAACTTTAAGGGGCTGCAGGGCGCTGTACGGTTCATGACTGAGGACTTGCGAAACCAGGTTTCTCAAAATCGGACAGTCTTAGTTGAGATACCTGGGATGACAAGGGAGTGGATCCTTCCTAAGAATTCTATTGGCGTAGTTTGGGGCAACGCCAATGGTGATATCTAAGCTTCTGGGCGAAAAGGGTTAATCCCCTGCTTACGTGATCCAGGGCTGCGGCCCACCAGTTCTCAAGATTAGCCTGAAGGAGCGCAGTAGGAAATATCTGCGAAGCGTAGCGTTGCGAGAAGCCCCGCTCCGGAACCGGAAGGAAACAGTAAGTGCAATTTGGTTTTACACTTTCATGTGACCCAAAATCTAGACCACCCACCTACCCTCCGAACTGGCCTCTACAACCATAACATACCAAGAGTAAGCCTTGCTGAGCAAGGAGTTCCAAATGCATGTTGGTAAGTGGCACTTCCTTTTTCCAGCCACGCTGTTGCATAGCAACTGAAACCAATTTACCATCACAAGGAAATCAATGCATTTAATTGTTTGTGTGTGTATATATGTATATATATATACCCAACTCGAATTTCCTCAAGCACCCCAGATTATCCCAGATTGTCAAGCTGCAGCTTGCAGTCCCTGGCAGCAGGAGATGGCAGGAATTGGCACGCGATTCCGAACACGAGCGAACCCAATGAGCTGTCGCTCTCACTTTTGTAAGACAGCACAGACGCTATAAACCCTGACCCCAAGATCAGATTGTTGAAGGGAGCTTTGGCCCTGAGCCTCAGACCCTACTTAGCTGGCAGTTCGAAACATGTACGCTTTTCAGGAACTTGTAGGTACAATGTCCAAACTAGCTAGCCCAGCCTCCAAAACCCTGTCCTATACTCACACCTTTTGAAGGAACCTGCCTGGCTTGGCCTAATCTAAACCTACAGCCACAAGCAGCTAGTTCTCGCGGCTATGGCCCTCCCGTATGCCCAAAAAGGGAGCTATCGCATACCGGCTATACTTCTAGAAAACCTGGAATGTAGAATCCCTATGACCCACAAAAGGCCCACGATGCTGACACGCCCGCTGACACCATCGCTGCCTCCATGGAGGACTCCTCACGCCGCCTCTGCTCTTCACGCTCCTCCCACCTCAGGGGGGGGGGGGGGCAAGCCTTTGGGCTTCTAGGAATTTTCGCTGAGTAGTCCCAACCCTAGACCTGGAATACCCGCATAGTTCGGGGCTTAGAGGGCAGGTGATGCTAGGAACTAGAATCCGGGCACGCTTTAATGCACAGAGCTTTGTAGTACGAATAGCGGCAAGTAGGCGAAAATAGCAACAGTACGATCAATCAACAGCATAAACACACGCACAAACAAGCGCAGAACTCATGATTGTTGAGCCACTGAAGCTCTACAGTAGCAAACATGTGTAGTAGTTCTCGCAGTTGCTCTAAAATCGACCCACAGGACGCTTACAAGGCTTTAGGATAAGGGAATTTGGGCGACAGCGCAGCCTGAATGATGCGGATGCAAGCCGAACTTAAAGCGCCCCCCCCCCCCTCCCTGCCCAACAGCAAAGGACCACGCTCAGAGAATGGGACTACAACGCCCAAAGGAGCTGCTGCCCTGCTCAGCAGCAACGCATGTGAGCCACATGGCTTAGGGTTTAGAGTGATTCATCTTCCGGCAACTGCCAAGACATTGGGTCCTAAGGAAAGAAGCAAAGTAACGAAAATCAAGCGGGTAGCTGATGGCGAAAGCCTCACCGCACTTTGGGGGGAAGGAAAGAACTTAATTCATACCCTATAATCCCTATATAACCCTATATCATCCCTATAATCAGCTTCCATCCCATTATCCCTACTTGAAAATCCCCAGTCCCCCACAACCCCTTGAGTCCCTACTATGCACCAAGGGGCTGTTTGGGCAGATTGGGGCGCATCGGTTGGGGATGACGACGGGTTTTCCAAGGCTGAAGGACTCATTAAGGTGCAAAGTACGATATCAGAGTAGAGAAATTGTAAATAATAATATATATTGGGGGTTATATTATATGGGGGTATATAGGGATAGTGGAAAATAAAATGGAAACTACTATGTTATAATATGGCTTCCGGTCTCTGGTAGAAGGTTCCCCTTGCATATCCCTCAAGACGTGGAATCCAAACTGACCCACTAATGTAAGAAACACCCAATGATCATGAAGCGCATGTCATCCCCAACAAGGGCATGCTTTGAATTTCTGAGGTGTCCGCTGTTTCTCCAGTAGCTTGTTGAGGTATGCTTCCTGGATGGTGAAGCTTCAGTGGCTTCGGATACAAGGTGATTGTGAAATGCAGGGTTGATGGAAGCTGTAGTTGAGGCTTGGAAACACGGTGGAGGATCGTGAGTTCAAGGACTTAGGGGCATCTTTTCCACAAACTTTTTGAAACCTCTTGAATTTGGCCTATTGCTGGGACCATCGCTTACTGCCCTGACCTGAACCCCAGCAAGCGGCTGTAGGCCCTACAAGAACCTGTCCATGATCACTCTTCTGATGAATCCCCTCCCTCCCCCGAATAACAAAACAACCCCTAAGTAGAATGGAAGTGAATATGCAGCATGAGGGGTCGGAGTGCTTCATCATTAGGGGAGAGGATTACCATAGCAAACCTGTTGAGGTGAAGAAGTCTCAGTTGCAATGATGCTAATTGCATCTGATTGGATGGGAACCGTTGATAGATGTCGCTCCCCGTCATGTTCCATCCACAGAAGGAGAACTGCATTTGAGGTTCCAAACCAACCCTGAATCTCCTTCAGAATGAGATCCCCTTACATCCCTGGGATCCGAACAGTACCCCGTTTTCCTAATCCAAGCTCTGGACATTGGCCTTGGAACCACCCGTAGAAAGCCTCTTGCAGGCTCTTGCACCCCCGGAAATGCTATAGAACCCCTGCGTTTGGAGCTCAGGTGTTATACAACCCCTGTTTGACCACCCCCTCTGGCAACCTTTCTCCAGATATTCTGCCAGGAAGCAATCTCCCAGTCCGACTTGCCGGAGGCTCTGAGACGTCTTGCCTCACTCGTAACCATTTTCCCCACACCGATGATGGGAATTCAAAACAACATCACATGGACAATGAAGTGGAAACTGTGGGCTTATAGGGATATGTAGGATGAAGAGCTTGCCCTCCTTGTACTAGCCGAGAAACCATGTACGATTAGGAGATTTACAACGAATTTACAACGAATACAAATCCAAAAGCATTCCCCCCCCCCCAAAGAAAAATCGGTTTGGGCTTCAAGGTTTCGGATTTGCGGCTTTTGCAACACGGGAGCATTCCTCGGAATATGGGTTCAGAGAGCACAATATTTGCATGCACGAAGATAAAAATAGATGCATACATGTATACATGTATATATATATATGTGTGTGTGTGTTCAAGTCAATATGCATGCATGTATGCATGTATGTACATATGCATGTATGCAT